TAAATATCGGCTCAGTATTTTTGCTGTTTGTAATAATGCGGTTTTTTGTAGCTCTGATAGTGTAATTTCTGAGATCTGCAGCTGCTACTATGTGAAATTTCTCAGTATTGTTCCCAAAGCCCTGATGACTACGGGGACCACTGAAGTGTATTTCATCCACAAGAGAGATGTTCTGGTTTCCAGGTCTCTGTAATTTCTTAGTTCTTCCAATTCTTATTATTCTTATTCTTATTATTAGGCCATAGGCTCCCCACTCATGCAGCAGATTAGGAGTTGGCAAAGCACTGCCCTCCAGATGTTATTGGAGAGCAACTCCTGGTGTTCCTCACCATTGGTTATGCTGGGGCAGGGCTAATTGTTGAATTGTTGATGTGTGCAGTCGCCTGTCAACTTAGAGCATCACATTTTCCCACCTCTGCTGTAGATGTCCTGCTTTTTCAGCATTACATTTGGATCAGTTAACGTGTTTCTGCCTGGTGGTAAATGTTTCTAAGATTTACTTTTGAGCAACAGCAATGTGTTCCATCAAGTCAGAAAAAAAAATCAAAAACTATGCTGTGATGAAAAAATGAGGAAAGACAGAATGGAAAGGATTTAAGAAGGACATTGTACAGTAGCTATGAGAAAAATATATAACATGAACTAGACCAAGGTTGAATGACCTCAGTGGGACAAAGAGCCCTCTTACAGGTTTGCTGGCTGCCCAAAGGCCATACTTCTGAGTAGGTGGAGCCAAAGAGACTAATCTGCATATTTAAATGTTCAGTTTTTAAAAGAACATTACAATGGTTTTAGACTATAAAGTTGTCATAACAGGTTTTTGTTAACTGAAATATAGGTTTAACTTTTTAAAAAAGCTTTCTTTTAATCAAAAAGCCCTTTGGTGCTTTTGAATTGTGAAAATTATTTCTTTTAATGAAGAGTTTAGAGCAGGGGTCTCAAATTCAATTTACCTGGGGGCCGCTGGAGGCAGAATCTGGGTGAGGCTGGGCCGCATCAGATTTTCCGTCAAGCGGAGCAGGAGTTCAAGGAAGCCACCCAGGAGTTTCCTTAGCCCGGCTGGGGCTCCGGGGAGGAGGGAGCGCGCGAGCCCTCGTCGCCGGCCGTGACCCCCTCCAGCTCCTTCTTCAATACTACCACCACCACCACCAGCAAGACAAAGAAGCAGAGAAGGAAGGGATCACTGGTGACCACCTAGCGGGGTGGGGAGGAGGGCATGACATAAAATTAAAACAACAACAACACAGAATTCTCCTTGCCAAAGGAGAAAAGCCCCCACCAGTACCCGTGAAATTAAACAGAACAGGTGAGGGCCCCACAGGTGCGTTTGCACATGCACACACACAAAACACACACATGGAGGTCTGGCAACCTTCCTCTGAGGCCCCCCCTCAAAAGGTGCACTCAGCAGCAACTACCCCCACCAAGACAGGGGAGCAGACTTTGTGAGGCGAGCCCAGGCAGCCTCCAGAGCTGATTATGCTGTTTGTAATAATGCAGTTTTTTGTAGCTCTGATAGTGTAATTTCTGAGATCTGCAGCTGCTACTATGTGAAATTTCTCAGTATTGTTCTGAGTTGTGAGGCGGCCGCTGGCCGGGCTGCTCCTGGGGGTGCCAAGAGAGAAAGAGAGCCAGAGAGCTGCTTCTCTGGAAGAGGCGGCGGCAGCTGCTGTTGGCGGCTTGGAGGTGCTCTTTGAGGATGGGCTGGGAGTGAGCTCCGCTCTCAGGCATTTCTCGGCGGAGGGGCAGGCGCTCAGAGAAAAGGGCTGGCAGCGTGCCTTGCTCGCCGGCTCTCCCCCACAACAGCGCCTCTTGCACTGTCCATCCCGAACTGCAGCCTGCCAGCAAGCAGACAGGTGGGCTACCTGGCAGGCTGCAGTTCCGGATGGAGGGTGCACGAGGCGCTGTCTTGGGAGAGAGCCGGCGAGCGAAGCGAGGCTTTTTTTGACTATTGACAGCAGAGGATGTGTGGGTGCTTCGGGGGGGGGGGCAGGCAAGTCGGGCCACAAACTCTCATCTGGTGGGCTGCAAATGGCCACTGAGCCGCATGTTTGAGACCCCTGGTTTAGAGGAAGGGGTGTTGAAGAGCCCTCAAAAAACGCAAAATTGTCTCCACAATCCCCTAGAGCAATGGCCCCCAACCTCGGGCCCCAGATGTTCTTGGACTAAAACTCCCAGAAATCTTCATCACTACCTGTGCTGGCCAGGATTCTGGAATTGTCAGTTACTTGGGTTGTGGGGTTCCACAGGAGTGGAATGTCGAAAGCTATTTAACATCTATGTTAATTAGGAGATTTGGTATTAGTTGCCATCAGGATGCTGACAACACACAACTCTATCTCTCCTTTATATCCTCTGCAATGGATGCTGCCCAGGTGCTTGAGCACTGCCTGGCATCGGTTCTGGAGTGGACCAATGCAAACATACTGAAGCTGAACCCAGACAAGATGGAGATCCTTCTTCTAACAATTGGAGGCTTGTCTCCCTGAGTTTGACAGGGTACCCCTTTCACTTAGGGATTGAATTCAGTATCTAGGCATGTTCCTGGACCCTGCTCTCTCATGGGATTCTCAGATTGCAGCTGTGTCTATGTCAGCTTTCAGCAAACTGAGATTTATTGCTCAGCTCTTCCCTTACTTGGATGAGGGGCCCCCAAGGATGTTGGTGCATGTCTACTTTGGTGCTCTCTATGTGAGGCTTCCTTTGAGGCTGACCCAGAAGCTTCAGCAGGTCCAGAACATGACTGCCAGGCTGGTGTTGAATGTGAATAAATCTGACCACATTTCCCCAGTCCTGGGTCACCTGCACTGGTTACCTGTGAGGTTCTGGGCCAAGTTCAAGGTTTTGTTTCTTATCTATAAAGCACTTCATGGTTTTGGCCTTTGTTACTTTTTGGAGCGACTTTCACCAAGAATATCTGCCTGCGCCACCAGATCTTCACAGGCAATGCTCGTATGGATAGTCATGTTGAAGGAGGCCAGGAAGGCGTGCACCATAAATCTTGCCTTTTAGTGATGGCACAGCCCTTTGGATTAGGATCCTGGTTGAGCTGAACTTGGCTCCCTCGCTCTCTACCTTCAAGAAGTATACATGTATTCTTAACAAAATGGTGCAACATTGCTGTTGTAAGTTTTATATGTACTTACGTGGATATACAATATTTATTAATGTAATTGGTTCCGTTCATGTTTTCTGAAATCACCTGGCCTTCCCGTTGACTTTCTCTCAAAGTTCCCCAAGTTCTCATTTTCTTTAATCTTTTGAGATCTGAACTTCTGCATATTTTTGGTACCAATTGTGGAGTTTGCTGGGCTTCATATTTGGCAAGTTCTCTAATAGTGAATTATGTGAAAGGACTATAAGTAAAATTGGAGATGCTTCTATTTTTTCTGGTACAAGAATAAGAGGAAAGGAATATGGAACAAAGAAAGATCTGGAGCTGAGACCTGGAATTGCTTTCTTGATTTCTATGGAAAGAGTGCTATTCAAGAGATTGGATGAGAGAATGACTGAGTAAGCATGGGAAGTGATGCATTATAAATCATGTGTCATCTGATATGGAATTTTCACATACTTTTTGTGGCTTCAGGCTGGTACATGAGGCCTAGAAAGAGCCATGGAATAGAGTAGAAGCTCAACAGTCAGCCATTTAACAGCAAATTATTAAAAAGGGAGCAAACTATATGGATGGCAGACCTCTTTTTCAAGAGCAACAGGACCTCTTATTAAATCTGCAGATAACTTTGGTTCCAAGTTTTCTTTCCAAAAACTCAATAAAGGTCTGTTGATATTGCAAGTTGACATGTTAATGTCATAGTAAAATTAGTTGTGTGGAAACATTGCTTTTTTTAGCCAGGCAGCACAATCATATTGCACGGAAATGCTAGGAAGAGATGCATTCAAACAGATTTTACCATTATAGAATGGCTGAATAGATGTTTTGGTCTCTTGACTGAACCTTACCCAACCAAGATAAAAAAATTGGTTGCTGCTTACTTCATAATTTATACTTTCCTTATATGGGTTTTAGTATGAGGATTCCTGTTGTTTGTTTGAGTAGCCGTGTATTCTTCTCCTAGGAGACAGGTCTTTCAGTTCAAATTGAACTTAGCTGTACAGCTTCTGATACAACTTCCACCTCACAAAAATGGATAGAAGGCCTTTCAGTATATGGGCAGGACTCTGACTATCATATTGGTATTAGTTAACATAGTACTGGGCCTGCTATTGTACAGTAGTGACTGAGAGAATGAATGAACTATGAACCAGAAAGCCCTACTTCAGATCTCACCTTTGCAGTGACCTTAGTAGGTGGCCATACATAAGATGCTCCCTGTCTCAGTGTCTAGTGCTCCTCCCATCTACAGTATGAGAGTAATAATATTGATCTACTTTATAACAGGAATGTTGAACCTATGGGAATAGCCTCTGTTGTGCAATGATGGACTGGAATTTTCTCTTGCCAGGAGGAAGTGCATAAGAAAACAAGTCCTGTAACATCAGGACAGAAGTTGAAGTGTTAATTTATTTATTCTAAATTAATCTGGTAGCTGTTACTTATTATTTAGAAAAAGCAGCACGAACTGTTGTAATATCTTTATTTAAAAGTATCCTTAAAATTACTTATTTTACAAAAACAGACTTGGTATAGGAAAATGGTCTCAAGTCCATTGAAATGGCTCCCCCAAACCAGTGTTTTAAAAGCCATGAGTGAGAATGTATTAATCATAAAGAAGCAGCAGTGTTACTAGTTGCTAAATTATTTTGCCGTTGTTACCCTAAAAATAAAGCATTACAGATACTTCCAAACTCTTCATCAGGGTGGAATTTTTAGAGGGAAAGGATTAAGGCGACCCCAATGTACTGTTTTCTAGTTCCAAAGCCTGACTAGTTTCCTGCCCCTGCTTCACACTATTGTATACTACCTAAAATAAAAATTAATTTTGAAAAGGTTGTTGGCCACTAAAGTTCTTTCAGACAGAGTCTAAATTAATGCCAGAGAGGCTTTCTGTTGCTGTCTGTGAAGAATCTACATGTCTTTAAATTTCTGTTACATGTCTTATGTTTTCTTTCTCTGCAGAAATGGAGGCAAACAACCATTTTAACTTCACTGGCCTTCCCTCTTCACCTGCTGCCTCAGGATTGAAACCTGCTCCTTCCTCAGGGGATGTCTACACAAATGGATCTCCTGTAAACTTCCCACAGCAAGGGAAAAGTAAGTGTGGGGTAGTGGATAGGATCTTCGTGGTATTTGTGTCAGGCATCAGAACTGATTGTGTGTATTGTCTTTAGCCCTTGCCTTCATAGTGTGAAGCTCTAGTTTTCTTCTTTGGTAATTCCTTTTTTGGGGTTCTGATAAATTAGTGCCATACATCTCTGCAGGATGGCAGTGTGTGATGATGGCGTCTGTGTTAGACTTTAAGAGATTTCTGGTCACCTCCAGTTTTGAAGGTCCTATTAAAAAATCACTTTCAGGAGGCAGTAGTATGGGTCAGTTAAAAGGCAGATCAGGGAATAGGGATTCAGCCTATGTCAAATCAGGTTACAGTACTGAATGCACAGGCTTGCAGCTGCCTTGGTTCCTTTAAGGAGAAAGGTTGGGTAAAAGGACTTTTAATAAATAAACACACACACACATATATATACACATACATATATTTGTGTGTGTCTGTGTCTGAGCCAGGAGAGTTTGGACACAGATAAAACAGGAACAACTACTGTATCTGTTCCTGGACATTTCTGATCTGTCTGACACTAGTGCCTCAGCTGCATCCAATTTAGATTACTGCAGTGTACTGTATGTTGGGCTGCATTTGGAGGCTTCAGCAGATGTAACATCCTGCAGCCAGACTGCTGGAAGGAGCTGTTTATAAAGTGAAATTACTGGTTATGACAGCTTTACTGGCTAAAAGTCTGTTTCTGAGCACAATTCAAGGTGCTGGTTTTGATCGATAAACTCCTAGGTGACTTTAGTCCAGAGTGTCTGAAGAAATGCATCTTTCCAGAGGAGCTCCCTAGATTTTAAGATCTCCAGGAGAGGCCACCCTCATAGACACACATAATAAGAATACAAAAGAGGGATTTTTTGGTGGCTGTCCCTAGACCAGTGATGGCGAACCTATGGCACAACTGTGTGTGCCACAACTGGCATGCAGAGCTCTCTCTGTGCGCATGAGCGATAAGTCACCGGATCGTTACCCATGGCAGCCAAACCTGAGGAGGTGGTTGCAGCCACGATGCTAGCAGGATCCAGAGCAGCTGGCGATAGTTGGGCATGATTGGAGGTGGATCCGTAGTGGGGTCAGGAGGCCCCTCCGTGCCCGGGATTCCCCCTTCCACTGCCATGTCCCATGCCACCACGGCACATCGCCCACTGAGGTTTTTTTTTCCAGTTTGGGCACTCAGGCCTCAAAAGGTTAGCTGCCACTGAGCTAGGAGTGTCACTGCTCTAGACTGGAATTTCCTCCCTCCTTCTCCTTGGTGGCCTGCCACTGCCAGGCAATGATCTTTATGTTCATAAAGATGTTGGGAAGGTCACTGGCCACCAAAGAAGTAGTTTTCATGAGGAGTATTCTACTTTTAATCTTTTATAATGCAGTTTTAAATTGCTTTAAACAGTTTCTGTCCAGTTTTTGTTTTAATGAATAATGGTTTTGATTGCTTTTTCATGTTACAGTTTATTGTATTTTTGTCTTAAATATTTCAGGCCACTTTTGTTAGGAGAGAGGTGTCTTATAAAAAAGTGAACAAATGACTTAAATCTATCTCAGATTCTCCTAAAATATGAGTAAAACCTACATCACATGATCATTGGGAAAAGAATAGTTGGAAAATGCTCTTTTAGATAGCATGTTAATATATATAATCTTTCCAGTTTTCCACATTCGTTGTGCCTTATCACTTTCTTCTGCCTCTGTGTTGTAAAAGGAGCTATAGTCAAAAGCGAGAGAGAAAATTTCACTCAGCCAGTATTCCTAATATTTATCTTATTCTTTTCTTCTCCAATGGCAGGTTTAAATGGAGATGTGAATGTTAATGGCATATCTACTGTATCTCATGCTAGTACTTCAGGGAACCGCACTTCAGCTAACTCACACCTCCACCATCCCTATGACTATCTCTGGAACTACTCTCAATATCCGTCTGGCAGTGGCAACAACCTGAAGGACAGTCCACTGTTTTCCCAGTATCCACTGAATGGTACGGTTGGTGGCAATCGACAAGGCTCGCCAGGTCACAGCACCAACCTGAGGGGAAGTGGTGGGCAAGAATTCTGGACCAACGGCGCTCCTGGGGCCATGGGACTAAACTTTGATTCAGCAGAGCTCTATGACTCATTCCCTGATGATCAGAACTTTGAACTCCTGCAAAATGGCCCATCCAGCTTCTATACATCAGCTCAGCCTTCCCCCATGCTTGGCTCAAGCAGCCAGGACTTCTCTCCACAGCAGAATGGGCCAGGCAATGAGGAGACTGTGAAAGAAACTTCATCTGCAATCTCAGAAAATGGCAACAGGCTGTTGGGTAGCATGGAGCTGGAGAGCACCCAACCAGGTATAACAGCAGATGGTTTCCTAACTTGATTTGGTGACACAGAGTTTGAAAGTAATGCATTGAAAACTAGTGGTATTGATTGTTAACTTGTAGGGAGTGCCATCCTAATTAAGTATAGGTATTGTACTGCTCACCAAATTAATACATCATTCTTCTTTTAAAAGTAATATTTGCTTATTACATCAAAGAGTTACTTGTGGGGAGTTGGCTGTATATTATATGTGTCTTTTAAAATTCTAAAGTAATGTTGTACTAGGGGTTTGTGATTGGGTTCTAATTTTAAGACAGGCGATTCCTCACTCTTTAAGAAAGTCACCGCAGGAGATGGGGCAACATTATAAAATGGTTTAATATCTTTTAATGGAGTGGTATGAACATCAACTTCAGTGGGTCCAATGGGACCAGCAACCAATGATGTTTCAGCCCACATTTCGTGTAATCCTGACATTCCAAAAGTGTACTTTAACGAGGGGCCATTCCAAACTTCTTGTGATTGGTAGGTTTCTGCATGGGATGGCTCCTCACTGCACAAATAGTCCCACAACATGGGTATCAAGCCCAGTCGCCTTCGGGGCGCGTCGTGCCAGTTGATATTGGGTTTGGACGCACAGTCTTCCTCCAGGGTAAACATAGATGGTCCATTCCCGCTATTCTGCTTCTCCTAACTGTATTTTGATTTCCCCACCTTCCTTGCCCTTCGGAACCTTCCTCTCACAATCATCCTTTTTCTCCCCTTTATGAGGAAAGGAGAATATACAGGGACCTTCTACACTTCGTGGTATTGTCAGGGCTTGAAAAATTTTAGAATGTCTCACCAGTCAGTCAAAAATTTCACCAGTCAGCAGGACTGGACTATTTATTGGGATTGGGAATCACTGATTTATACCCTCAGACTTGGGTTGCTTTATTACCTGCATGCCTGTGGGGTCATGAAGCTTGTACAGTATTTTGAATTCCTTTCTTTTGAATGTCTCTTTCAAAGATAAAACTGAAAGCAAAAGCACCCAGCCTCTTTATGAGCCACGGTTCCCTCCCACCCCAGGATGTGTCCTCGTTAGGTTGAAATTGGGAGCAGAGAATCCCCATATTCTCGAGGATGGGACTACTCTACATTCTCCTGCAGAGCTATATCTCTATGTACTGCTCGAATTCTCTTCTTGCGAGAAGAGGGCAGTTTTCGTTTTGCAATGGGAGGGGGAGGGGAGGACTGCAGGATTAGACATAGAGAGACAGGCGGACGGGAAGGAGGCAGGCAGGGAGGGATCTGTGACTCATCGAGCAGCATTTTTCACTCATCACAGACGAGTGGAAGAGTGCATTTTACAAGCCCTGGGTATTGTCATATCTTCTTCTTTAGCCTCTACCTCCTGAGTTTCCCACTTCTCCAATCCCCAGCTTCTCCTTTCCCTTCTTATCCTCTCTTGCCCGCTCCCATCCTTTTTCCTCCTCTGTCATAAAAAAGCCTTCTGCTATTGTTTTATTCTTTCCCGCTACAGATTTCCCACTTTCTTCTTTTCCCAACTTCCCACCTTCTCCTCCCAATGCCATAGCTTGGACCATTGATGGTAACAGGGTAAAGACAGTGCTGAAGCCTTCCACCATGGACGGCTCACTTCTGGGTTCAGCCACTTGTTCTGCTTCATCCTCACAGAGTTATGCAATGGATTGTTTTTACCGCTTAATAACAAGAAATTACTTCTTAACAAGTAACATTTCCAAGCTCTGAAGAGACCTATTGGTGGAATATATTTGTTTCAGTATGTGTACGAGCTTGTACTAGTTTTTCATTTAACTGTGCTATACGACAGCCAAATAGAATGCCTTGTTATGATTCAGTTTTCTAGAAACACTCCAGGATAGCAGCTGTACTTGTCCTGCTTGCCATGATGATTTTTTAAAAAGTCCTCATATTTCAGAATTTGGTGGTGGATCCTCTGTTGCATTATCCTAGCCAGGAAAGAAATTGTGCATTCTTATAGCTTATTACATATAAACATGGTTGTAGAATTAGGAAAGGGTGTGCATATTGCTCTCTGCATGACAGTTTTATCTTCTGAGCCATGCAAATATAATATATGTATATGGAGTCTAGGGATATTTCCTTTCACAATATCAAATGCTGTGCTGGATTTGTTGCTGTGCATTACAGCATATGCACAAATCTCTATTCTTCCGGTTGCTAGCAGTTGTCTTGGTCACCGAATATTTGTGCTTAGTGAAGGTGAGGAAAAGTGTTATTTAAATATGGAAATAATGGTCTGCACTATAGACACCTCAGTGTTGTAAAAGGTTGCCAGAATTTTGAAGGCCAAGCATTCTTTGATTTGTTATATTTTCATCTATTTTTTTTTCAACATGATGTTGCAAGGTCAAAATTAATAAGGTACTTGCATTTTATACTGCTGTTTGCATTGCACAGTGTGAGTGAAAACAGGTATAATTTGTACTAGGGTCTGATTAATTTAGAGCAGAGCATCCACAAAAATGGGGACATAACTTTGACTTCCTTGCGGCCTCTGGGTCAAACTTTTTTTAAAAAAGATACCAGTCACAACTTAATTAACAATAAAACAAAAAACAATAGATAATTGTCACAATGTGTTTAGACAGGAACATGAGTTTGCAAAGGAAGCCTAAGTGGGTGTATGGGGAAAATTTGGGTGCTGCCAAATTGAGGATCCTGGCTCACAGCCGTTAGGGTAGGAGGCAAGACAGCACAGTAGTGATTTTCTGGCTTCTTCACCACTGCATTTTATAAAAGTTGCCTTCTCATCAAAAAAAAAAAATGAGAGAATTCGCTGTGCCAACTCCAGGCAGATTGTTTTGACCAGACCCACAGGAAGCTGCAGGAAGGACAAAGGTGTAGCTTTTTTAACATCAAAATTCAAGAAGCCATGAGGAAAAGCAGCTTCAGGCAGGGACTTTCCCCCCTTATTCTGTACATGCTACATATACTGATGGCATTACAGTGGTGCCTTGCTTATCGATTACCTCGTTTAACGATGTATTCGCTTAGCGATTAGGTTGTTGGATCGATTTTGCGGTCCGTTTAGCGATGTCCCCTATGGGGAAAATTCGCATAGCGATGTTCGGGACCTTGCCTCGCTTAACGATGACAGTTTTAGGTTCCCTGCTTCGCTTAGCAATGTTCCATTTTCGCTATTTTTAAAGCGTCTTAAAAGGTTCAAAAACGGTTTTAAATGCTTGGGATTGTTAGTGCACCTTCTAAAACCTTTTAAGACACACTTAAAATTGCAAAAACGGACATCGCAAAACCATTGGAATGCATTGAATAGGCTTCAATGCATTCCAATGGGGGATACATTGTTTCGCTTAGCGATGTTTCCAATGGCGATTTTCGCTTAAGGACGGTAATCCGTTCCCATTGGAATGGATTAACCGGTTTTCAATGCATTCCTATGGGAAATGGTGTTTCGCTTAGCGATGTTTTCCCATAGCGATGTTTTTTGGGAACCAATTAACATCGTTAAGCGAGGCACCACTGTACATAAAAGAATAATAACTTATCATTTTAAAGTAGATTAAGTTATGTGGTGGAGATTACTGAAACTGTACAAAATTACTCTTGATTATTCTGGAGTTTGATATTCATGTTTTGCTCTGTGGTCTGTGTTCTTCTTCATTTTTTGAAAACATTTTCGACACTGTGTTGCTAGCTAACATTATGTCTATCTAGAAAGTAAAGTATAACTTTTTAAAAATATCTCCTTATAGAGTTGAAAATGTGTGACTACAGTGGTTCTTCTCCAGTTGGTGAGCCTCTGAGTCAGGAAGCTTCTGTCTTGGAACCAGATGCTGGAGGTAGTTGTTCTCTGGAGGAAGCATCTCAGATACCACCACCTCTGGAGGATTCCTTGGAGCCTTTTGAATCACTAGACAGAGGCAAGTAGCTGATGTTTTATATCATTTGAATGTGCAGTTTCACATATTTCCTTCCAGTTCTTCAAAATAATGTCTTGGGGGGGCACTTAAAATTGTGAAACACTTAACATTTTAATGGACAGTCAGTAAGCAAAAGGTACTGTAAAAGAAATAAGATCAGAACCGTGATTCCAGTTTTTCAGTGACTGTCATATAAAGACAAAAATAACTATTACAGTAACCAGATCAAAGAAATAGAGAAGAACAAAAGGGGAAACAGAGAATTCTTCCAAAAGATCCAAGAAATCAAAGGAATATTTAAACCTAGATTAGGAATGCTGAATGACCCAGAGAAAATAAAGACAAGTTGGAAACAGTGTACAGAAGACCTATATGGAAGGGATAAAAAGATGACAAACTCCTTTGAAGACGAATCCTGTAATGAAGAATTTCCCATTCAAGCAAAATGATGCTGAAAGTGTTGCAGCAAGGCCTTTTACCTTATATAGCAGTGGTCCCCAACCTTTTTAATTCCAGGGACCGTTTTTTTTTGAAGACCATTCTTCCAAGGACCGGGTGGGGGGTGCTGCCGGCACCGGCGTCCGTGAATGGGGGGGTGTCCGTGTGTGGGGGTACTTGTTATGCAGCAGGTTGTTGGGGTTAGCTATGAATCAAGCACATTACATGTATTGTGCCCTTTGTCCCCCCCCCCTGGAATAAAGAGGCAAGACATAGGTGTTGGATTAATTAGGGCCACACAGGTAACTTTAATTCTTGTCATTCCCAAGCAGGGGGGGGCTATGGTAGTGCGGTGTTAGGTATGAGGCAAGGCCACCAGAGCAGAAAGAGGGAACGTAGGGGGTGGAGAGGAATTTCAGTGGTTCTTAACCTTTGTTACTCAGGTGTTTTTGAACTGCAACTCCCAGAAACCCCAACCAGCACAGCTGATGGTGAAGGCTTCTGGGAGTTGCAGTCCAAAAACATCTGAGTAACAAAGTTTAAGAACCAGTGGGGAGGATGACTAGGAGACGAAGGAGCTAGGCTGGCCAAGCAAAGCAAAAGATACATGAGCCTCGTGGCGCAGTGGTTAAAACGCTGTACTGCAGCTAAAACTGTGCTCAAGACCTGGGGTTGAAATCCCAGGTAGCTGGCTCAAGGTTGACTCAGCCTTCCATCTTTCCGAGGTCGGTAAAATGAGTACCTAGCTTGCTGGGGGGGCAATGTGTAGCCTGTATAATTAAATTGTAAACCGCCCGGAGAGTGCTTGTAGCGCTAGGGGGCGGTATATAAGTCCTATTATTATTATTATTATTATTATTATTATTATTATTATTATTATTATTA